GAGGTTGATCTTGGTCAACGCCTCCAGCACCTTGGCCATCCCCTGGCCATCGCCCCGTTGGGCGTTGAGTGCGTACTGGCGGACAGCACGAATATATCCAGTGACATATCGGTCCTCTGAGCCATTGTTTTCGATGTGGTTCAGTACCCTGCGGGCCCCTTCCGCGATGTCGTCCATGGATCGGGGCGGGTCCGCGAGGGCCGTGTTTTTTGATGTTCCTCTCCTGATAGGGGGCAAATTCTGTGCATTCGCACCAGTCGCCATCAGTGCTGCCATTGCCCTTACAAAAAGGGTATCAGATGGTAGCGCTTGAAGTTACGACTAGACCTCTTCAAGTCCCGTGGGACTAGACTTGACCTAGTCCCAAATCCCAGTGCACCCCACTCCCATGGGAGTACCTAGCATTTCCAGTCCCTCCCATGGGAGTGGGGTATGCTCCCATGGGGATTCCCCAATTTCCCGCCGAGACCTAGATTTTGCATAAATAACCAAAAAGGTATGGATAAAATCGCTGACAACTCATTCAAAATTACTGTTATTTAAACCTGTTCTAGCTATCTGAGGGTTCACACTGTTCATCTTGATCCCGTATGAAATTATTTGACACTACCTTGGACTTACATAGTTTCTCCCTGCTAGAGATATGAAATTCGGTTTTTGATGTTTCAAACATATCCTTGGCTTTTCAAAGTAAATTCGCGAATCGTGCTATGTGTTCCCATAAAAATATATATATTCACTAGAGGATAGTTGGTCTATGTCTTTAACAACCATGAAGTGTGGAACATTCATTTTTATGCCTCTAAATTTACTTTTATTCTTTAGTAGATGCTATTAATTGTTGGGTATCTTTAATCTCACACTTAGTTTTGTCCAGGGCTTGGGTCAAGCCCTCTAGAAAACTCATGGTGGACGAAAACTTCATACGAAATCAGCTGGGGAAGGCGGCTGACCCCCAAATCCACAGGATGGGGATTTTCTATGGGACTGGTGGGGAATGAAGTGTGGTTAGTGGGGATTGCAGTAGGAGCTAATGGGCATTGTAGTGGGAGTAATGGGAATTCCCCATGGGACTAAGGGGCTGCGTCCAATCAGCGACATATCTTTGGAGCCTAGCTTTGTGATACATCAAGCATGAGAAAATAGTCATTTTGCTTAATAGGCCTAATGTGGCCTAGATACCATCATGCCTCGCGAGAAATCAAAGTAAGTCTTCGCTATCTCCCCCAGGGATCGGTATCATGGATCAATGTAGCCAGTCTTCTGATGCTGGCCCTTCAAACCGCTACGAAGAACATCTCGATAGCCTTCCTTACCTTTCATCTGACCCTATACAGTCATTCACTCCCGATCTCAACTACAGACATCAAACGAACACACCAGCTCCGCTGTTTGAAGTCCCCCAGCCGATTTCAGATCCTGAGTCTCTCCGACGGGTTGGCCCCGATCGGAAAAAGATTTATGTGCTTTACAACGATATGTCAAAGGAGCAATTCATTGCTTGGTGGCTTCAGACACAATATGCGACCGTGGAGGGCAATGGCAAGAGAATCAATTGGAAGTCGAAACATTCTTCGGAAGTTTGGGATAATTTCGACCAGGTGGCTCATCAGCTTACTGGAGAAGCAAAAGTCATGTGTCGAAGATGTGGCAAAGTCCTTCCCCATCCGCAGGAGAAGGGGGATGGAACAAACTCCATGAAACGTCATCTCGGGTCAAATTCATGTCGTAGAGTCACAAGTGATCAGTCTCAGCAGCAAGGTATCCAACAATCGTTTGAGTTTGCAGTATGAGTTCTATGAGGAATCCTTCCAAGTCTCGACGGCTAAAATATTACCTCTAGTCTCAGCTCAGTCCTCAGCAGCCTAAGAGGGTGTTCACTCAGGAACAATGGGCACGTAAGCAAGTGATCTTGCTTGCTAAATCTTCGCTTCCGTTCCAGTTTCTGGCCCATAAGGACTTTGCAGAACTCATTGAGTTGGCGCAGTTAGCCCCGTCAACGCCGCAATTACTCAACCCAGTGACTGCGCGTCGCCGCCTCCAGTCGATGGTTAAAGAGGGCCAGGAAAGAGTCCTCCTGGACCTTCCACCAACTGCAAAGCTCTCGATTGCCCTCGACTGTTGGACATCCCCGTTTCAGCAAGCCTTTATGGCCATCACTGGCTATTTTATCGACAAAGACTGGAAGTATCGCGAGACTCTGCTTGGCTTTGAGCCGCTCCATGGTGCCCATTCTGGTGTAAATTTAAGCACCATTCTGATGGAATTACTTCAAAAGTACGATATTGTCAATCGCGTCCTAGCGATTACAACAGATAACGCATCGAACAACAATACCTTGATCGAAAATATCCAGGAGTCTATCCAGTCACTCAGGCTACCTAATCAGGCACTTATTGTCCGGATACCATGCTTAGCTCATGTCATTCAGCTTAGTCTTCGGGATCTTCGTGGTCGGATCAAAGCCAACCCAAAAAATGATAACCCAGGCAGGGTCTGGTCGGATTCTCAAAAACAGTCCCTTCGCAGCAGTCGGGGTGAACAGGATATTAACTATACCCTTTCAAAGGTAACCCCTCCCCCTACATACTTATATACATATTGCTAATCAATCAGCCAGATTCGTGGATTTGCTGTATTCGTCAATGCTAGCCCTCAGCGAAGGGAGGCCTTTCTCAGTCTTCAGCCAGATGATCCAAAGCTTGTTCCTCTTCAAGATGTTAGGACTCGTTGGAATTCAACATTCCTTATGCTTCGACGCGCAAAGCGCCTTTCTACGACGTTTGACAAATACTGCGAGCTACATACGCAATCTCAATTCAAGCTCAACGTAGAGGAATGGCGACAAGTTGATTATCTTCTCTGCATCACACATCCCTTCTATACATTCACGACTCGTCTCTCTCAAACGAAGGAGGTCACTGTTCATAATGTCTTTCGGGTCTACTACCAGCTTTTTGATCACCTCGAGGGGTCAATGCGACGACTCTGGAAGAAGAAAGTTCCTTGGAAACAAGCAATGCTTCATGCCCTTGAAGCAGGAAGGGAGAAGCTAAAGCTCTACTATAGGAAGACTGCGGAAGTGCATGGAAATCTCTATGCAATCGGTACTATTCTTGCTCCACAGCATAAGCTACAGTTCTTCTCCAGAGGAGAATATGGCGATGACGCTGAGTCTCGTCAGACATACAAGGAATGCCTTCAAAAGTTCATGGAACCCTACCAAAAGCCTACTTCCGATGCACAGCGGCCGCACCAACACCCCCCACAAACGAATAGAGATGATATGGAAGATCTTTTTGATGAGGATATGCTTGATGTCTCCTCTCGAGAGAATACAAATACCAATGATGAATTGACTGAGTATCTTGGGACAAGTAAGCGTCACGAAACCCTTTCTTTCAACCTGTCTTTACTTATCATGCGATGTAGGCCAAAAGAAAATCGCTCCGCTAACCTTCTGGAAAGAGCACGAGCGTGAATTTCCAACACTGGCAAGGGTTGCACGGGATATTTTCTCTATTCCTGCAACTGGTGCAGGCGTCGAGCGTGTATTCAACTCGGCTCGAGATGTCTGTCATTATCGCCGGGGATCACTGAATGCCGCAACAATCCAAGATATTATGATATTCCGATGCTTCGACAAGCAGGATAAAGAAGACGATACTTTAGAAGACGTAGCTCTCACCTCTGAAGAACGGCAAGAGGCAGACGAGCGTCAAGAAGCTGACCTTCCTCAACAAATTCCTGATCCGATTAGTGATGACGAAGAGGATGAATCACTATCGTTTCCGGATGAGCCTTCTGTTGAGTTACAGACACGACCCTTAACTCAACGGGCACTGGGAAAGAGACGACAGTGTACTCCCGAGCAGGGCCAGGAGGGTGGTGATGAGGCGGAATTTGATGACGATGCTCAGCCTCTGCCTAGAAGTAGTACTCAGACACGAGTATCTAGTAGGCAGAAGCGTCCAAGACGAGAGGATGAGGACTTTACGTATTATATGTGAATGTTGGACGAAGAATTAACCCAGATTATTATGTTATTGTACTATTTGCTTGGACCCCGTTCATTCAGTTATAGCCCGTAGGCTGTAAGCCTAATACTGAAAGAAACAGTCAAAGCTGTATAATTTATGCAAGGCACAGGTGAGACGATTTTGCTGACACGTTAGTCCCATGGGGATTTCCTTTAGTCCCATGGGAGTCCGACACGGTCTTGGTCCCGCCCATGGGACCGAGGTTTGGTCCCATTGCACTCCCATTTAGTCCCATGGGACTGGTCCCAAGGGACCAGTCCCATGGGAGTTGAAGAGGTCTAGTTACGACTACGGTGAACTAACTCTCGAGGCCTCGCGACCTCTGGTTGGCTAGATATTCCAAGAAAACGTTTTTGCCAAGAAAGAGTTCTCCTCGCCACAGGATCCAGGGCAAAAACAACATTGGCTTTGGTCACTTCCGAAATCTTCTCCATAGTCGAAGCTTGCAGTTGCGGAGCGAAAGTCTAACCTACAGCCAAATCTCTACAATCCCAGATGGACCGGAAATAATCACTCGTCTTGAGTCACTGGGAAAATACGATTGGGGAAATCAAGGCACTTCTGAGTAGCACGGCCGGCATGCAATCTAGATCATCCGTTACCGAAACAGATGTGCGAGTTTGGGTGAACCATTTCGTTTGATTGCAAGGTTTCTAGGCTTCCCGCGCGCCGCTCCGAACTCCGGGGGTTACGATTTAGGAACAACCGAGTAAGGCCTTTGCCGAAAATATCGGTTATGTAGGACTGGTGGAAAATGAGTTTACGGTTCGGTTTATCTGGTGGCTCATGGAATTGAGGGGTCCGGGGAAAGCGGACTTTGTGGGACAACAGGGAAGAGAGCGGGGTCCCTTGAATGGATAAATAACGAGCAAATTTGAATCATCTTCAATGAGCAATCAAATCCATTTGCAAGCTTCTATCTGTTCCAATCACTCAGTCGCCTTTCAACATCGTTTCAAAATGCAAGGCCGGCTTAGTGATAAAGTTGCCATCGTGACCGGTGCGGCGTCAGGGTTTGGCAAAGGCATCGCTTCGAAATTCGTGAGCGAAGGCGCCAAGGTCATAATCGCCGATCTTTCGAAGGAGGCAGGCAAATATGCTGCTGCTGAACTCAGTTGCGGGTTTTTTGCGGCTGACCTTACCCGGAATGAAGATTGGGTCGCCCTGTTGAAACATACCCTTGACACATATGACCAATTGGACATTGTGGTGAACAATGCTGGCGCCAGTTATACGAACAAGCCAACACTCGAGGTAACAGAGAAGGATTTCAATTTGTGTATGGATGTGAACGTCAAGTCTATTTACCTGTCCACAAATGTGGTCCTGCCTTACTTCCTTGACAATCGACGACCCGGCGTTTTCATACAGGTTGGCTCAACGGCCGGAATCCGGCCCCGTCCAGGTTTGACATGGTATAATGCCTCGAAGGCTGCCGTGAGCATTGCCACCAAGACACTGGCGGTAGAATACGGACCCCGCCAAGTTCGGTTCAACACAGTCTGCCCGGTCATTGGCAGCACTGGAATGTAAATGCACCCTCTGAGAGACGAACCTCTACTGCACGTACAGTAGCTAACTCTCCTTATTTATAGGACTCATTTATTCCTTGGAAAGCCCGACACCACCGAGAATCGAAGCGGGTTCCTTTCAACAATTCCTTTGGGACGTGGCTCGACACCCGCAGATGTTGCCAACGCCTGCAGCTACTTAGCAAGTGACGAGGCAGAGTTCATCACAGGAGTTGACTTAGAGGTCAGTCATGACAAGCCTATGACACAATTCATCAGAGCTTTGAATGCTAATGAATACAGGTTGATGGAGGGAGATGCGTTTAAGGTGCTTCGAATGGTACCTTTGTGAATCGAGTCTTTTCGGTAATGGATAACACGTGGAATTCAACTCGAATCTCGAGACCCAAGATATTAGACGTGCGAATGGACCATGAGCCAATCAATTTCTCAAAAATCAAATTCTCAAGATTCCATTAGCTCCATAGTCTCCAAAAACCTGAGAATAGTCCTATACGAGTTGTCGCAATCTATTCAGCTTTCCTCTCGAAATCAATATCTCATGAGGTGACAATTTTTGCATCCAGTGATGCCGAGGGCGTATATTTAGGTAAGAAGCTATTTTTGCTTCTGTTTATATCGATTGGCTTTCATTGTTTACTTTCTTATTTTTACATTACTCCTAACATTTATACAGAACACTTAACGACCGTTGCATGCTATTGCTTCTGTCCTGACACCTTAGTCACGGTTTCATGGAACATTTTCAATGCTTGTCAATAGACACGTGGGTACCTTCTCTACGTACTCAATGTCTTAAGGTATATTTATTTTTTTGCAGGGCCAGGGTCTTCTCCTTGTCAGGCATTGATACCGAGGTTTACAAGACTTCAAACCCAGTACCAGGGCGTTCATTAGTACAGATAAATTCTAATAAAGTAATCTAATAATCAGGTCGTCTTGTAACATCATTCTTTACAATCCAACTTTCTTCATCATTTCTCTCAAACAGCTTCACCTCAATCAATACAAAAAATCGACAATCCATTCCTGAGGCATCTCTTCATCATAATAATACCCGATTGCCCCTTCACTATCGATACCTATCATGGATTGCTCTCCAAAAGCAATGTGATACGGTCGGGATGGAGTTAGGCTCATGAACGAGGTACCGCCTGGTGGCAGCGTTCAAATATTCGGCGACCCGATTACTGAACGGCGTTTGTAACGGCCTTGCCGTAGGCGGTGAGAAGATGAAGCGGCTAAGCCTCCAGAGGGCGAAGACAAAAAAATAGTCAACTGCAGCCTCGTCAATGGTCCATTGGCATTGACAATTGCTAGTCTGGAAGGGGAAGTCCGAAATCTTCATGCAGCCTGTGAGCTGCATGCATCGTTGAAGTTCGTCGAGCATGATACGAATCATCAGTTCATCTCCATTCTGGCCGTCATGCTAATAGGTCGTTCAGTATACGTTTCGCAGAGTGGCTCAATGAGAAGGCACTTAACTTACAGCAAGTCCCCACAACATAGGGCGGCATACCCAGCAGCACTGTGCCCCCAGTGCTAGAGCTTTGAAGTCGTCGATACCCGATCGGATCCCACCATCAACATGAATCTGATCTTTCCCTGCGCAGCTTTTGCACAAGCTGGGAGTGCATCGATAGTCGCAGGTGTCTCATCAAGCGGCCGACCTCCATGGTTGCTTACAATTATGCCATCGCAACCGTACTCGATAGCGGCTTTGACGTCTTCCGACGTTAGAGATCCTTTAATCCAGATCTCCATTTTTGTGATGCTCCTCAGCCAGGAAATCTCTTTCGCCCAGGAATGGGAGCTAGAGCCAAATGTACTGAATCCGTCTTGGTGCTTTTCACCCTGCACATCGGATGATGTCTTTTCAATCATAGGGTAGCTGAGACCATCCATAGGCTTGAAGTCATGCCGAACCTCATTATAACGGACTCCGAGGATGGGGCTATCCGCAGTGAGAAAGATTGCCTTGCATCCCGAGGCTTCCGCTCGTCGTACGATACGATCTTCCTTCGTGCGATCAATCACTGAGTAGAGCTGCATGACATCCCATAATTGCACAGGCTCTGCTTGTGGCCAGTTCATCATCGGGGTGAGCCATAGCTTGGATCCCAGCTGGCAAGATGGACAAGGGAAACGTAATTTCTCGTCCAAAAACATAGGTACTTGTGTCTGGATCGGATATCTTTCAGGACTCTGGGCAGAAGACGGTATTTTCAATACGTAGAAACGTTGTCGCGAACCGTGATTTGATTCGTCACCCCCGAGTTGAAGAACTCTGTGATATTCAAGTCAGTTAACCGATATCTCAAGTATGGTCAGAAAGGAAATTTTTGGGATCGAGACCTTTGATGCCATCTGATAGGACTCGGGAAGCAGCATGCTCCAAGTCACCAATCGACAGGATTTCTCACTCATCGCGCCAGCAGATCCTAAGGTAGCCGTTCTGAAAAACTTGTTCTCTGGACCTTTCGAGATGCCCGTCTGGGTTTTAATTTGATTTTGAACAGCTACAATTCTTATCAATGGGGCCATAGACATAGAATCTTAGTCACGCAGCAAACCATCGCTATCTGTGGCGACATGTGCGCCTTACGCTCTGCAGCCGGAACACTCAACGTGAATGAATTTGGGGGTCCGCAGGTCCACGGGCCTGTGAGTAAATTAGTCAATTAGAAACACGGGTGTTACTGTAAGTAACGCCCGGTCCACTAGAATGTACCGTATACGTAACGTCTATACGCCGAGAGTAATTTTACATTCTCGCGAACATTGCCGACCCCACGGAGCTATTGTTCATTGGTTTGCCCGATTTCGGTTTCGCCACATTGGCATTCTTGGATATGCCTGAAGAGTCCGAAGAAATGTGCTAAATGATGCGGTGTAAGGTGCGGTGATCTTTAGAGCTGCGGAGGAATTGACGAATGCGAATATAGTGCATATTCATATTCGCATTCATATCACGTACTCTGCGTGCATTAATAGTTCTTTAGTTTTCCGGATTCTCGCATGACCCAAATACATGTTCATATAACCATGTTCCAAGGTTCTGGAAGTGTACAGTAGGATGGATGGATGGATGATTTCATTTACGCTGACCCCTCGCGAACGATATGCAGCCTACCACTACTATATATATCTTCCTATGTACATAGACCGTGTACCACTTCCTAAGCGAACTTTGAGCCTCGCCGAGGCCTGCCGTGGCCTCTGTGCCGTCATTATATTTATGCTGCCCTCATGGCGCGCGGCTTTGAAACCGTTGCGATGCTTCAGCAAAATCCAAGACGGCCTCCACCGTTTTGGACCGCGAAGCACTATCAATCTTACCTCTTCCTTCCTCACCAGGTCCTCCTAACAGAGTCGAGATGCTGTTAAACGCGTCACTAACCTTTTCTCGAAGCTTTCTCCTTAATCCTCCCAGTCCTGGACAATCCAACAACACGTGGTGGACACTCTCCCGTTCGCCACAGACGCACCGGTCATCATCTCGGAATCGGAACGCCTTGGCGTATGTTGACAACCAGCTGTGTCCAGTTCGCAGCTGTGTCAGCAGGTACGCTCGGTTTCTAGGCAGAGATCCGTAGAGCCGTCTGGTGTACTTGGCCGGCAGTGTGTTGTCGATCTGGCGGAGATGGACGCCGGTGCCTGACTCGCTCCATTCCTTCTTCCATTGGGTGTGGATCCCTTGCCTAATGCGTGCTCTCTCGCGTGACAGCAAAGAGCAGAATGGGTGTGTTTTTCCCGGTATAGCCGCCTCTTTGGCTAGCTGATCTGCAGTGTCGTTCCCAGGTATTTCGCAATGTCCGGGGATCCACTGTAGTCGAATCGATGTGCCGTGAGTCTTGGTGTTCCTGGCTGCTTGTAGAATGGCGTGGATGATCTGTTGTCCCGACTTGTTCCCGGGGTTCTGAACTGCTTGCAGGGCCGACTTGCTGTCACTGAGAATAGTGGCAATTCGCACCCGCGTATGGGAGGTCCTCCAGTGACGGAGAGCAATCTTGTTGATGATGTTGATGGCGTACAGGATCCCAATGAGCTCGGCGGCGTGAACCGACCATCGCTCCATAGGTCCAACCTGAACTTGCATGCTGTCGGTTGTTTCCAGCGATTCATCGAGCACGGTAGCTGCGGCACCTAGGTGACCTTCTCGTCCCGAGGCGTCCGAGTACACCACGATGTCCGCGGTTGACCGTGCAGCCTCGGCTCTTTCTAGCGCGGTCTCTCTGTCCGATTCAATCTCGATTTCTGAGAAGGCTTCTATTCGCCACGGTGGTAGCGGGGTTGGGTCAATCATTTCGATTTCCTTTAGTCTCTCCAGGTTCATTGTTTTTAAGGCTTCTGATAGTGGGAACCGGGCGAATGATCCACGATTGTTGCGTCTTCTCTGGGCCCGACGTAGGGCGCTCCATATAGGGTGTTTTTGTGGTAGGGTATGCAGTCTAGTGATGGTATTTTGTGCGCGGTAGCGCAGACGGAGATGAGTTGGCAGTACATGTGCTTCTACGTCGAGTGTGGTTGTTGCCACTGTTCGAAAGGCTGATAGGACCCGGATGAGAGCCGCTCGTTGCACGGTGCGGAGGTGACGTAGATGGGTCTTATCTCGAAGTGGATCATGCCAGACGGTTGAGGCGTAGTCGACAACCGGTGTGACGCACGCTTCGTAGAGCTGTCGCATCTGCTCTGGGCGGAGCTGTCGCAATCCGCCAAGCGCGATGTTGACCTTAGTGGCTCGTTTAACGGCCTGCTGTACGTGTTCCTTCCACCGAAGCTCATGATCGAAGATTACCCCTAAGAGCTTGGCCGTTGTAGATGGCTTGATGACATTGCCATTCATGATAAGCTGGCCCTGGCTCTGTTCTTTTCTTTTTCGGGTAATGTGAATGAGTTCGGTCTTTTCTGCAGCGAAGCAGGACCCAGTTCTCTGAGCCCAGGCTTCAATCCGGGGTATGTCTTCGGACTGGATTTTGGCCAGATTCTCTGCGGCACTCCAGCCAACTCGCCAGCGGAAGTAGTCATCAATGAAGGCGGATGCCCCACCGTGAAAATCGACCGGCTGGTCGACTAGATCGCAGTTGAAGAATGCAAAGAGGATAGGTGACAGCGGAGAGCCTTGTGCGAGCCCGGCATTTTCTAGCGGTACCACCTCGGTTTGGTAATCGTCGAACCCAATGCTAGCCTGGCGCCCGCTCATGAAGCTCGCGATCCACCTTCGGGCCACCGAGGGGATACCCTTGGACTGGAGGCGAATATCCAGGCTTGTCTTATTAACCCCATTAAAGGCTCCCTTCAGGTCAAAGGCCACCAGTGTGACGACCTTCTGCCTGTACCATGCCCGGTCGATTGCGTTAGCAAGCATCAGGAGGGCTTGCTCGGTTGTTCGTCCCGGGCCCAAAAGACATTAAGTAGCTTCGACAGGTCTACTTGCATAGACCACTACCCCGGTTTTTCACCCGATAAATGAGGCTTCTGGTCTTTTGAGGTTCACCACACCTCTCACCCTGGGTGTCTCTCAGTTTGCTCCTTAAGCATACATCACGGGCAGGCCAACTAGGACGACACCGCTTCGACCGACCAAGGTCGATCTCAGGTCCCCAGTGCGAGTGGGGTAGTTGACTCCCGGCTTTTTGTACACCGACACGCGCATCCGTCCTCTCGGGCTATACAGACAGTCTCTTGACAGGCCCCGACCCTGCCGCAGTGGCTGCCATTGTACACCACGCCCCGCGAGAGCTTTCACTCTCGTTTCGCGTTACCTGAGGAGGTCTCCCTCCGCCAGGCCGACCGTGTCTTGCAGAAAGTCCTCCATACGCTCCATCCGGCAGTATATGTTGGTCGCTCTCCACTAACCAAGCTTGGTCCCCGATGTCTGGACAGGATCGACGGGTTGCCCGTGGCAAAGCCTTAACGAGTCCCGCCGACTGCCACCAGTCAAATACCAATATTTTTCAGATTGCCCGTGTGTCTCCCAAGAGGATGCCCGTGTCTCGATGGTGCCCGTGTCCCGAAGAGCAGTCGCCCTGACGCTTGCCCGTGGCTGAGCCTTAACGAGGTCTCCAGCGAGCGATGTCTCCGAGCCTTAACGAGTTCGAGTCTTAACGAGGCCTCTGGGCCTTGAACGAGGTCTGTCCGATATCAGCTTGACTGCCTGTGTCACCGGTTCACTACCACCTCGCCACATCTCGCAGGATGCGATCTCAGACCGTATGCAAGCTCAGGGGTGTCCTGTCTTCTCCTTAGGCGACACCACTTCCACTGGTAATGCAAGACCAGTATCGGGCCCGAGTGCGAGTCGGGTAAGAAGAAGTCGGATGGTTTTCTTATGCCGTTATCCCCTGATTTTGGTGTGGTTGTGCGGTCGTGCCCCGCGCCAACCGCGCCGGGCCGGACCGCACAACCACGGCGAATTCACTTTGGTCTCCCAACGGGGATTAACACCGGACACCACGAGAAGGTATGAATCCATTGTCCCAACAACCTGGCGAGGGCTGCTGCCCAGTGCGAGCTCACTGGGGGCGGAAGTGTACAAACAAACAAACAATTCATTAACGCCCGGCGGCTGATCCGAAAGGGCAACTATCAATGATCTACTGTACATGTCCATCTGTATATGCTGTGTCTCCTGAAAGCCCATACATAAAACCTTATAGCGTATGACATTTCCAGAAAGCAGTGTCGCAGCGAGTTTCTCGTGAGTTAGTAAGTGGGTAAGTAGACTGGCTTGAAGGCGCTTCTTCAAGTGTTCAGCATCCTATCTTCGGCAGTTGAAGCGCGTCTACCGTTTGTGGCACGAGGTGGTGGGTGAGCAGGGTCGGAAGAAGGGGGTGGGGGTGATGTTCGTCAATGTGTTCAAGTGGCCTCGAGGCGGCCCGTTGCGATGGCGAAACGTATGGAGGCCCGTACTGCCTCTAGGTTTGGCGTCCAGTTCTGATCGTCAGAAGGCTGTTTTCCCCCCAAGGCGAAGGATATGTTTCCTCGGTGAGCCTGGGTGCATTGTAACAGTTCCGTCCGGTGTGCAGTCCACTTCCGACAGCGGAAGAGGAAGTGCTGCAGGGTCTCTCTTGCTTGTCCGCAATCACATTGATCGGTCTCTGCTACATTAATTTGATTGAGGTATCCATTGAGTCTGGCCATGCCGGTTCGGAGTTGGGCCAGTACGGTCGCTTCTTTCCACGTCAGGCGATCATATAACAGCCGGGTGTGTTTGCCTGGCAGTGCGGCATCTACTCGTTTTGCGTGTCTTCCTATGTTCTCTGGTAGCTGACTGCAGGGGACTGCTTGGGACCGTGCGATATTCAATGTGGTCGACTTCATCCTCGGGACGCGTTCCTGTTGGAGAGCGTCTTCTTGTGTTGCAGTTCTGGCTTGTTCTTTAGCCAGACTTGACAGCTTGTTGTCTTCGCTGGTGCGGATCCAGTGGATTTTGATTCGGTTTCCATTCCTCCGCAACCTTCTCATCAACTTGTATATCTGACAAACCAGCTCCTGGCCAGACTGTCTCCGAGGGTTCCTTAGCGTGAGCGCCGCCGCCTTGTTGCTTGTGAGCAACGTAATTCTGTAGTCTTTGATTCCAACTACCATCTTCAATGCATGTGCCATCGCTGCTAGCTCCGCAGATAACGGATTTTGCTCTGCTCTTGCACCCAATGTGACGGAGAGGGTCTTCAGTCTCAGTTTTCGATACCGAGGTGGTTGTTTCTCGATCGCCACCCCGAATCCGACCAGCTCGTTCCGAGCCGAGCTGCTGACCGCGATCTGCATATACAGGCCTGCTCTGGTCTGGACATCCTGTGGTTGGTCCATATCGGGTTGCATGCGTTCTTCCCACGGAGCTAACGTAAATGGATTAATTGTTTCCAGTGTTTCCATGTCGATATGCTTCAGCGCATCGGCTACCCGGTACAGCGGCGAGCGATGGTATCTTCTGAACTTCCTGATCCGGTCTGTACCCCTGCGGAGGGGGTTGGTTTCAGGCAGGGTATGCATGTCCGTCCACATCTTCACGGCCCGTCTCCAGAATCGTTGTCGTGCGGTGGCAATGTGGGCCTCCGCCTCCGCTACGCTGGTCGCGACGGTGAGGAATGTCCCCACAATGGCTTGTGCTCCAACTCTTTGGACCCGATTGATCGGCCCCATGGCCTTATCCTTACACGCGTGCATCCAGACATTGGAGGCGTAGTCCACGACCGGTGCCACCGTCGAGGTGAACAGCTGCCGCGCGGTTGCTGGAGATAAGCCACGGAGTCGCCGAAGCTCCATCGCCGCTTCAAGACCCTTGGACGCTGCCCTCGCGATATGTTCCTTGTACTTAAGCCTCGTGTCCATCAAGACACCCAGGATCTTGACGTGGTTTCCGGGCACAACCGTTTGTCCCTTGATGATAAACGCCTCATGGTCCGATTTACGCATCTTGGGCGCAAAATGTATGATAGCTGTCTTTTCCGCTTCAAAGGTCGCTCCGCTTCTCCTTTCCCAGTCGAGAGCTCCATTAATAATTGCTTCAATTCCTTCCCGGTTGCTCTGCGCGGTTGATCCGGTCACCCATGCGGTGAAATCATCCACAAAAGCGACTGCTCCTCCCTGGCTGTCGATCTGCCTTTGCACGAGGTCTGCGTTGAAGAAGAGGAATAGGATCGGGGACAGGGGCGAGCCCTGCGGTAGCCCAGCCTGTGGCAGACTTTGGACCTCCGACACTTGCCCATTGATCTGGATGTTCGCCGTTCGTTCCGAGCAGAACGCTTCAATCCACCGGAGCAGACCCTCCGGGATGCCTCGTGCTTTCATCCTTTGGAGTAATCGTTCTTTGCACACTCCGTTGTAGGCTCCTTTGACATCGAAGCTGATCAGGCTCAATACCCGCCGGCCCCGCCACGCCGTGTAGATCTGTTCTTGCAAGAGCAGGAGTGCTTGCTCCGCGGATCGCTGTTTCCGGGCTCCAAAGTGGCTGGTCGGGAGCAAGCCGTGGGTCTCCACCGCGTGTGAGATCCTTTCTGCAACCACTGACTCCAGTATCTTGCCCAGTGTCGCTAGGAGGGAGATTGGTCTCCATGCTTTTGCAATGGTGTAATTTTCTTTATTCGGTTTTTTGAGCGGTATGATCTTCGCGTGTCTCCACTGTCTTGGCAACGAGCCTTCTGCCAGCGACGCTTGAAATAGTTCAAGGACCCTGTACTTGACCGTGGGCCACGTCATCTTCCACACTATCGCCGGCAGGCCGTCCTCTCCCGGCGCCTTCCACTATTTTGCTGCAAGAAGCTGTCGTTCTACCTCCTCCAGGTTGATGGCCGGCATCTCCACTGGCTCTCTTTGTGGTCTGGCCCCTTCTAGAACTTGTACACACACACACACACAATTCATTAACGCCCGGCGGCTGAGCCGAAAGGGCAACTATCGCTAAATTACTATACATGTCTTAGTATATACAATTCTGTGACTCATTGGAGCCCATACACAAGACCTTGGCGTATTTGTCATTCTCAGCATGCAGTGTCGCAGCGGATGCTCGTGGGTTAGTAATGCGGTTAGTAGACTGGCTTGAAGGCGCTTCTCCAAGTGTTCAACATCCTATCTTCGGCAGTTGAAGCGCGTCCACCATGAGTAGCACGAGGTGGTTGGTGGGTTAGGTTAGAATGAAAGAGGTGATTTATGTTCGTCGGCGGGGTTAAGTGGCCTCGAGGCGGCCTGTGGCTATGGCGAATCGTATTGAGGCCCGTACTGCCTCTAAGTTTGGCGTCCACTTTTGATCGTCGGAGGGCGACTTCCCTCCCAGGTAGAAGGATAGATTCCCTCGGTGGGTGTCGGTACATTGTAGCATCTCCGTCCGATGTGCGGTCCACTTCCGACATCGAAAGAGGAAGTGCTCCACATTTTCCTTGGCCTGTCCGCATGCACACTGATCAGTGGCGGCCGCGTTGATTCGATAGAGGTATCCATTCAGTCTCGCCATGCCCGTCCGGAGTTGGGCTAGCACGGTCGCTTCCTTCCATGACAAGCGATCATACAGCAGTCGCGTGTGTTTTCCTGGGAGTGCTGCATCTACTCGTTTGGCATGCTTTCCGACGTCCGCTGGCAGGGTATTTCTGGGGACTGCTTGAGAGCGTGCGAGATTCAGTGTGGTCGATTTCATCCTTGGGGCGCTTTCTTGTAGGAGGGCGTCTTCTTGTGTCGCGGCTCTAGCCTGTACTTTAGCCAGGCCTAGCAGCTTGTTGTCTTCACTGGCAGAAACCCAGCGGAATTGAACATGGTTTCGGTTTCTCTGCAACCTTTTAATCAACTTGTATATCCGACAGACGAATTCCTGGCCAGATTGCTGTCGAGGGTTTCTGAGTGTGAGAACCGCCGCTTTGTTGCTTGTGAGCAGTGTGATCCTGTAGTCTTTCAGCCCTGGCACCGTGCTCAATACGTGTGCCATGGCTGCCAGTTCCGCAGAGAATGGATTCTGCTCTGCTCTTGCGGCCAAGGTGATGGATAGTGCTTTGTGTTTGAGCTTTCGATTTCGAGGTGGTCGCTTCTCGAGGGCCACTCCAAAACCCACCAGCTCGTTCCGTGCTGAACTGCTAACCGCGACCTGCATGCACCCGCCCGCTTCGGCCGGGCCCTCAAGCTGTTCACCACCATCGGTCTGCACGCGTTCCGCCCACGGGGCTAGCGTGAAGGGGTTAATCGTCTCCAAAGTCTCCATGTCGGTGTGCTTAAGCGCATCGGCTACCTGATACAGTGGTGAGCGGTGGTATCTTCTGAACTTTCTGATCTGATCTGTACACCGGCGGAGAGGGTTGGTTCCCGGCCCAAAAGACATTAAGTAGCTTCGACAGGTCTACTTGCATAGACCACTACCCCAGTTTTTCACCCGATAAATGAGGCTTCTGGTCTTTTGAGGTTCACCACACCTCTCACCCTGGGTGTCTCTCAGTTTGCTCCTTAAGCATACATCACGGGCGAGCCAACTAGGACGACACCGCTTCAACCGACCAATGTCGATCTCAGGCCCCCAGTGCGAGTGGGGTAGTTGACTCCCGGCTTTTTGTACACCGACACGCGCATCCGTCCTCTCGGGCTATACAGACAGTCTCTTGGCAGGCCCCGACCCTGCCGCAGTGGCTGCCATTGTACACCACGCCCCGCGAGAGCTTTCACTCTCGTTTCGCGTTACCTGAGAAGGTCTCCCTCCGCCAGGCCGACCGTGTCTTGCAGAAAGTCCTCCATACGCTCCATCCGGCAGTATATTTCGGTTGCTCTCCACTAACCAAGCTTGGTCCCCGGTGTCTGAACAGGATCGACGGGTTGCCCGTGGCGAAGCCTTAACGAGTCCTGCCGACTGCCACCAGTCAAATACCAATATTTTCCAGATTGCCCATGTGTCTCCCAAGAGGGTGCCCGTGTCTCGGTGGTGCCCGTGTCCCGAAGAGCAGTCGCCCTGAAGCTTGCCCGTGGCTGAGCCTTAACGAGGTCTCCAGCGAGCGCTCTCTCCGAGCCTTAACGAGTTCGAGTCTTAACGAGGCCTCTGGGCCTTGAACGAGGTCTGTCCGATATCAGCTTGACTGCCTGTGTCACCGGTTCACTACCGCCTCGCCGCATTTCGCACGATGCGATCCCAGACCGTATGCAAGCTCAGGGGTGTCCTGTCTTCTCCTTAGGCGACACCACTTCCACTGGTAATGCAAGACCAGTATCGGGCCCGAGTGCGAGTCAGGTAAGGAGAAGTCGGATGGTTTTCATATGCCGTTATCCCCTGATTTTGGTGTGGGTTGTGCGGTCGCTTCCCGCACCGGGCCGGACCGCACAACCACGGCGGATTCAATTCGGTCTCCCCAACGGGGATATACACCGGACACCACGAGAAGGTAAGAATCCATCGTCCCAGCAGCCTGGCAAGGCCTGCTGCCCAGTGCGAGCTCACTGGGGGCCTATCTATACAGTATGGATGGATGGATGATATCATTTACCCTGACCTCTCGCTTTTGGCGATATACAGGATACAACAACTATATATATCCTTGTATGTACACGTGTAATGTCCCACTTCCTGAAAACGAACTTGGAGCCTCGTCAAGGCCTATCGTGGCCCAGGTGCCGTTTAAGTTATTAGGCTGCCCTCATGGCGCGCGACTTTTGAATCTTTGTGACGCCTCAGCGAAGTCTAGTACGGCCTTGACCGTCCTAGCCCGCGACACGATGTCTGGCTTACCTCTCCTACCTTCGGTTGAGCCTCCCAGCAGACTCGACACGTCGTTGAACGCGTCCCCAGCTTCACGTCTTAGCTCCCTTCGGATTTCCATCAAATTTGGGCAGTCCACCAGCACGTGGGTGACTGTTTCTTGCGCGCCGCACACGCACTGATCATCGTCGCGGAAGCCGAAGGTCTTGGCATAGGTGGATAGCCAATTGTGGCCCGTGCGTAGCTGTGTCAACAGGTACGCCCGGCCCCTGGGCAAATTCCCGTACAGCTTCCTGGTGTAGGTCGCCGGTAGAGTGTTATCGATTTTTCGCAGGTGACCGCCTTTGGTGGATGCTTTCCATTCCCGCTCCCATTGAGCGCGGATCTTGTCCCGGATAAGCGCTCTCTTCCTTGTCAGCACTATCTATACAGTACGTCCCGAAACTGGTGCAACCGTTTACACTCGTTTAAGTGATTATTTAGCCCCACTGCCAAGAAATTCTAGTCTATATTTGGAGTTCTTCCGACAGCTGTATGCGTACTTCCTCGTACGAAGGTGACATAATAATTTCAATCCTGTATTAGCATGTAAATTTCAATACATGTGACACCTCCATGCCCCTCATCCGAAGCAGCTTTCCTCGGGAAGCTCATTTGACAATCAATCACGAGTGGTTCAACCAAAGATGGCTCCAAACCTAGCTCCTTCCAAGCATGAGCTTATTTATGACATGATCCACAGTGGCGAACTATCTATAACTGAGATGGCACAGGCCGCTGGTTGCAACAAAAGCACCATTTCAAGAATCTCTTCCAATATAAGGATGTTTGGCAGCATCAAAGCACCGCTTAATAAAGGCGGACGACCCCGTTGTATCGCTCCAATTATGCTAGAGGCTCTGTGCGACCATCTGATTGAAAAGCCCGCCTTATATCTGGAAGAGATGGTTATTTTTCTGTGGGACGAATTCGCTCTTCAAGCAACGAAATCTAGCGTGAGTCGCGCCCTTCAGTCCAAAGGATGGTCAAAAAAGACTGCTCGGGTCAAGGCACAAGAACGCAACCTTGACCTTCGGGACGAATACCATCATTTTATCTCAGACTTCAAGTCTTACCACCTTGTCTATGTCGATGAATCTGGATGTGACAAAAGGATCGGCTTCCGGCGAACGGGTTGGTCCCCCCTTGGTACCGCACCGGTTCAAGTGTCGAAATTGCATCGTGATCAGCGTCATCACATTCTGCCTGCCTATGCGCAAGACGGCATTATTTTGTCTCGAGTGTTCCAGGGCTCAACTGACGCATCCATCTTTGAGGATTTTATCGAGCAGCTTCTCCAGCACTGTGGGAAATGGCCCGAGCCGAAGTCTGTACTAGTGATGGATAACGCATCCTTTCATCACTCGGGCAGAATTGAACAGATGTGCTCAGAAGCTGGCGTAAAGCTAGTGTATTTACCCCCATATTCTCCTGATTTGAATCCTATTGAGGAGTTTTTTGCTGAGCTCAAGGCCTTTATCCGGCGTAATTGGCAATCTTACGAAGAAAATCCAGAGCAGGATTCGACAACTTCCTCGAATGGTGTGTTGACGTTGTTGGTGCGAGGGAGAAAAGCGCGAAGGGACATTTTCGGCACGCTGGCCTAGCTATAGACCACATCTCCCCCCACATGCCAAAAACAAACTGACGCCACTACGTCTTGACCGCCACCGACGACTAGACCTCAACTCACACCTCCCAATCCCACACTTACAATCGAAGAACTTCGCCGCCGTTTTCACAACAAACCGTCGTCATTTGAGCTTGAGAAAAGGAAAAAAGAAAGCCAAAAGACCACATCTGCCGTCCAATTGTTATCCAGGTGTTTAAACTCAGCATTGCCAGCATTCCCGCAATTTCTAATGGAGATGTAGCCGCGGACAACTGTTGGTGGCCTCAACCAGTAACTCATTATAGCCGCGCCATGAGGGCAGCCTAACAGTGCAAAAGGCAACGAGGCCACGAAAAGCTTTGCCAGGTGAGGCTCAAAGTTCACCGTCAGGAAGTTTGGAACATTCTCAGGGATCAATCACCATATATTTAGAAAGTAGTTGTCGCCTGTATATCACTTTTTGCGAGGGCTCAGGGTACATGAAATAATCATCACTGTAGCAGACTCTAATCAATAACATTTATAATGACCATTCCTCTTGTAAAACTCCCATCCAGATTTCATCCCACCATTGCCCATCTCTCCATACAGCCTTCCTCAATCGGCCTTCTTCTTGAAATCCAACCCTATGGTACGTTTTCAGGGCGACCTCATTCCACCCATACACTTCTAATTGGACCCTGTGTAGATTTGCCATATTGAAAGCCCAGTTGAGAGCCCAACGTAAAACCTCAGTTCCATAGCCTTGGCCTTGTGCGTCGGGTCTTAATTCGATACCGAGATCAGCACATCTGTTTTGAACCTGGCTTGGAGGGATGTTTTTGATCATGAGGATTCCAATTCTCTCTGATTCAGAAGCTGGTGGGTGTTCTGCCGCATTCAGTGATGACTTCTTGCAGATAACAACCCCCAGAAGGGCTGTTTCGAATTCTGTCGGATTGACAGATACTGGTATGTGCTAGTATTGAGGTGTCCCATTGAGATGCATTGATGTTGTTCTATCTGGATCTTGCTGTTGAAGCGTTAACAGATCTCAGGAGTCGTTCCTAGCGTGTTACGACGCTGGTATGCCGAGCGTACCCCGTTTACCATACAGAGACAGAGACAGAATGGGTACTTGATGAATATCCCTGTTCTTAGTGGTAAAATACCACCCCTCAGTTCGACAAATTCTTTGATAATTGGTTCAACTGAATCTTTCTTCATGGGCTGAAAAATGCTTTTTGAAGTATTGTAAAAGATTCTTGGGTCGGAATGCATTGCGAAATACCATTCTTTATCGCGGGAGGAATCCCAGGCACGGAAGTAAAGACGATCAGATTCTAAGAAATTCATGGCTGACGTTGGCTTCTTGTAACATCGTTTGAATAGAGAAAGTAATCTCCCCAAGTGAAAGAGAGCTGAAGTCAGCAATCTGGGGTCTGTCAATCCTACATTAAATACGGGGTGAGAAATGTGAAAACTCTGCTGAATGGATCGACCCGCTTCAGGCCATATGGAAACCCCGGGGTCCCTTTTAGGAATGTGACGAACTGTGAGAGTGGTCAAATACCACTAGGACCCTTTGGGACAGGCTTATTCATCGTTCACCCAATTCCCCCTAGTATTTGTACGGTATTCCGGGCACATTCGGAAGTACGGTGTTGTAACACGCCGAAGCTTATTTGTATAGACCCCTGAGATCGTTCAACCGATCTTGAACACCTACAATCAATCACCTGATTCTATTGGACATGTTCAGTACCAGCCATTACATCAATTCCTCATCCTGACAAAAGGTTCTATCAGCGATTACAAAATGTATTACTGTACTGATACCGTGGTGAAAGTATGAATAAACCCAGCTACCCTGCGCATCAAACACTGTAATAATTAGGCGAGGCCTGTTCGCTATTCGTTAGAAGCTTTTAAAGAGGGCTTAGGCTTGACTGTGTTTGATGAGTTTGAGAATTCAAAAGAAATCCATCGCAGCACCTTTCACTTGGAAGCATCACACTATTCGACGGCTTGAAATGGGCTTGCTTATGCTCAACATGTCGACAACAAGGGGGCATTATTGAACGTATGTTTCGCCGTACATATCCACTCAGACCACGGTCGAGGCTAACCGTACTCCAGAGACTGTGCAGCGAGACGCCATCAAAATTGAGGGAAATGTTGCTGAAGATGGCCAACACTGGTTATTGCGTTCCATTATGGAGTGAGTTGGCAACGTTGTTCTGCGCTATAGATCTGTTTAGAAATGATAGCTAATCAAGCCTTAGTTTAGAAGAACGATTGAGGTGAGACTTCCCGTAGGCTCCCGCCGGGGCGGGTACTTTACAGGGGATAATACGCTGATAATCACACAGCAAAGTCGAGGAATCTTTCGCGGAGCAGGCAGCATGGAATGTTGAGTTGCACCGACTAATGGAGAAAGTACTCGATGAGGTTGCTAGCTTGGGGCAAAGAAATCTTGAGCTGGGAAGACATGTCGACAGCCTATGTAGGTTGTCTGGGGGTCTCGACTATTCAGCGCAATCCAAAACGCCAACGCCATTAAGCATACCCCAGGCTTGCCAGGGGCGAACTGCGACACAACTCAGCCCAAGATAGCAAACGCGTGCTTCAAAAGTTCATTGAGACTGGCAAAAGGAGCAGAATGGGATTTTGAGTGGAGACAACCATCTCGAAATGTTGAATATGGATAGTGAATACAAATTCTAGGAGACACGAGAAAGCATGAGACAGAGAATTATTAAAAGCAGCAATTTCTAAGAATTCAGCTTGTATACGTTGTATTTTCATCTGGTGCCCGATTACAGGCATCATTAAGGTATTGTATAATAGAAGCATATCAGTCAATGTTTATTATGGATCATGGAGAGCGTCAGTATTTAATCCTACCCAAAAAGAACCGTGGATGTGTGAACGTTTCCCATCTTCCTCTTTTTCCCGTCTTGCTTAATTTTGGACCTCGCACCGGCCCGAAACAATTTCGTTTCCTTTCAGGTGTCCACAAAAAAGGTGGGTATCATGAAGCCACCTTATGAGCGAACCGCGGAAACGCTTGAGGGGCGGGCCCCCTAGACATGGTCCACTGGGTGTAACAGCAATACATACCGAGGCCATTATATTACCCTTGGCCATCAAACAATCCCATCTGGTGGCATGCATTATTAGCGCTAGCCTGTCCAATCTTTCACGTTAGTTCGGAGTCTTAGAAGGATTCAGTAAAAATTGCAAATTTCCAAGCTTGAATAGGCTCCAAGTGTCGGGGAAACTTCGGGCAGGCTAATGTGGATATCTTAGAGGTGACTAGGAAAACAATGCCTTCCATAACCCGCTCCATCTGATTATAGGCAGTCACAGAAAGTAGAGGACAGTAGTTTCCGAGTAGAGCTATATCGGGTACCAAGTGCAGATTCTGATGCAACATTAACACAAGGCACAGGGCAGGCTTGGAAACAGAGCGACTTGTGACTGCTACAATATTGTAAGAAATACTTTACTTGATTAACCCAGAAAATGTACTCATATTTCTAAGCAATGTTGCTGACATCCATATAAGAATTACATATTAATACTGCTCACAAGGCGTCAGGAGTTACACCTTCCGTCTTTCCTCTCTGCATGCGTCACGGCTCCTCGTCCCTGTGAGAGATGTGCATGCGGCGGATCATCCTCCAAAGTTGTGATATAAACATCGGCTGTTCACGTCGTCGGAATACCGGCTTGGGACTTATGTAAACTGAGGACTCAGTCGGTGATTAGCTTTGCGAGATTGATGCTGGTTATAAATTGACCTACCCGGCGTGGCATTGTTTGGTGCAATTGCGGGCTGGGAACCTTCTTCATTCTGCGAGGCCGGAGCAGAAACCTGGTGGCGTGGATTCCCATATTGATGCACCTGCTGCAGTAGTTGACGAGCCCAAGGGTCGGGAGATTTTAGCCTGAAGTTAGGAGGGCGGGGAGGGAAGCCCTGCGGAAGTCTCTGAATTCGGTACAGAGCCCTACGGGCCGTGGTACGGGCCCGTAAATTCGATCTGTCTGAGATTGGTCGCCGTCTTCTAATCCCTTTTCGAAGCTGATTGCGTTTTCCTCGCAGCGACTCGAATGATCTGTCTTTATCGTGTTGCTTGGAGTATTCTTTGGCCCTTTCTTTCCATGGCATCCAGTCATATATAGATAACCATGGTTCGAGGTTATCTTCCTCGGACTCAGTCCAAGGAACGTGCTTCTCTTTCGGCATCGTGGTAGATGGGCTATGTGCAAGGGTAAAAGAACAGACGTCAACTAGGAAATCACGCCATCAAAACAAACACTGGAAGGGGCGGGCGAAAAACGACAGACAGCGTGAATTTAACTGATGTATACTCAACTCACTATTCCTACTTTGAACAAGGCGTCATTTGGTGGCAGGCGGTCATAGCGGAAGTCACAGCTCGCACAAAAATGAGGTTTAATAATCAAGTGCCCATTCAATATAGCCGGGCACATTGCATCGGTGTTTTGATGCAGGCTAAAAAAATGAAAATAAAAATAAAAATAAAAATAAACGAGCTCTCTTTTTATTTCAGCTAAACTAGTAGGATTACAGTATAGTAGGAAATGTGCAACTGGCTTGATGCCCACTTGGACCTCGAATTACTCAAGTGGAGTCGGTTTAATGAGGTTGACAGGGATGTGAAATTTGATCCTTGGGAACTTAAATGTTTACACAGTTACACGACGGCCTACTAATTACTTTCGACCAGGTAATGACCATGCCTTGACCTTCAGGCATAGGTTCGGTGTAAATCTTTAACATTTAACCATTTGAACTGCATCGAATGAGATCTGCATCTTCATTGAACGAAGGGCAAATGGCCCAGCTGATTTGTCGACAATCATCCCTTTGATGTTGGATTTTCTTATATAATTGCTCCAAAATGTCTTGCACGAAGAAAGAAAGGCTTGTGGTCTATATTTCCTTCAAATAACCCTCAAGATAGTATCTCCCCTAGGCCCACACATTGGGCGCGGTTTGTTAGTCTAGGGCTAGGTAAGCCATCCCGGTCTAGTCAAATATCTGCGATCATAGCGTATACCTCTGAAAAATATCTAACGGCGTACTTCTTGAGCAGGGGTGCCCCAGTTCTCGGATTGGTCCGAGCGCTCTGCCGAGCTATCTGTCTGGACTATAAATCAAGCACGACTTCTAGCATTGGAGAAAGAGCTGACTGTGCTTCTTATTCACCCACTCCATCAATCATTCACTCTCTTTGCCAACAAGTCCAGAATCCTCGGTCATGGGTATCCTTCAACATCCCGGTTCCGGAGAGAACCTTGGTCGGTTCTCCAGCCAACTTCGCGATGCCCTTGCCTCCAAATCTACCAAGCCTTTCGACCTCTGGAGCGTCCCTGAATCGGCTGCTGGCCCCCAAGATGAAGATTGCCCTTATGAGATGGAATCGCAGTCCAACGCGGAAGAAAGCCATATGCCAATGGATGACGACATGGAATATGAAGCAGATGCCGATTGGGCAGTGGAGACCAAAAGTGTGGCAGGTCGCGTACCGGAAGCGTTGCATCATGGAGAGACGGGTAGTCCCGTATCAATGGGCAAGTGTCTGAGGTGTCTCGGAGAGTAAGACTATTTGCTTCTTCACTACAGTTACCAGTGACGCTAATTTCTTTCTAGCTTGAACGCCCGAGTCCTGTAGGTGTCTGCCTCTCGGCGATACCTGCTCCAACCCCATCTTATGCTAATGAACCTAGGTCCATAGAAGACCAGCTCGAAAAACAAAATTCCTGGAACGACGACATGGGACGAGGCGTGGAAAGCATGCAGGGCGGGTACCAAGAGATCTCGGCGCTCAGAGAGGATGTGGCTACGCTGAAAGAACAACTCAACGCTCATTGCAGGGATAGCCCAGACAGTGGACGGAAGCCAGGACGCCCCAGACGTGTTGCGCAATGAAGATAGAGAGCGAGGACTCAGAGGTGGCCCAACTTGGACGATCTGCGTGTCTAATGGTTGGTGCTTCAGAAAGAGGCAGAGATACCCAAGCCTAGCAGCAATATAGACGGGTACATACCAACACATACCTTGACATCTACACCTACCAAGTGGAATGAGAACTGTATGGTTTGTCGGTGTCCGTGCGAACTGAGCTCGGAACCCACGCCGTTAGAACCTAATGCTATCCATAGCCGGCTGATCATCATCGTCAGCCAACAGACACCTGCGAGCAAACCCGCCCACCCCGATTAGGGTATGATTTGCGCATCTCAATGGGGGGCGGCTTTGCCGCGACATGACTGGGCCGGGGAGGGGTAGAGATCGGCCCGGGCCACAAAGGTCGGTAAAAGAGCATCAAACGGGCAGGAAAGCCCCGCAAAGCTTTGCCAAGAGCAATCACAAAATGTATAGTCCGACGAAGAGATAATCTAAACCACAAAAGCGCTTCGAAAACAACAAGGGTACCAAAAGGATATTGATCAGCGCGCTGGTGCGTCTAATATTCCGTTTCTAGATTAGCACAGCATTTTCTTCCACCAATGTGGAAGGAGATATTGGAACCATGTCTGAAACATACCTGCTAATGTCCTCGGCTCGCCAGGTACAATTTCCCCTTTGGCCCCGTCGTGATTCGCTTCAAGGTAACGGGACGGCTATATCGGCAATTATCCGAATACGTCTCGGACTAGGAGCACTCACTGTGGCCCGTACCGCGCCGTTGTGGCACAACTCTTGTCAGGCGGCAGACCTTGAATCACGACCCTAGCCACCACATATCAAGATTACCAGCTACCACTAATGAAACAGATGCGACCTTGGGGTTTCCCAATTGGCCTCCTTTGTGGCGCCTACTCTGTAAGCGATCCGTCCTAGTGCGTTCCCAATGGATCGCAGAGAACCGAATGGCAAGTGGGGAACGAGAAATCCAATGCTAATTAGTGATCTGTGCCGCGCTTAGTGCTAGAAGAGTGGTATATCGTTGGCATCTATGATTATTCTCGTCATTTTATTGGTTTTTTTTTTTTTTTTTTTTTTCATGTGATTATTCCATTGGACGAGACAAACAAATACTTTGCCAGTCATGCAGAGTGGTCCGTGCAGGTTCGCGACTTTGTCCCGCCCCCATCTCCAGCGACGCGATTGCCGACAACAAAGACAAGATTCATCATGTGCGACATGGTGCCGCGTAGGCTGTTGCCAAGAGTCGCTCTAGAGCGCGGTCGATATTGTTGGATTATGCGGACCTGAGATCGGCTGGCAGATTTTCGCGGCCTACTTACTATACAAATCCGAGACAGCAGAATGAAACCCCTCCGGTTTGTGTCTTCATTCATGGATCGTGTTTTTGACCCACGCTGAGAGAGATCTACAGAGCGAATCATGACTCAAGAATCAGCACCCGAGCGCCGCTAGCGGATTTGGTGCCAAAGGGGAAATATCTCGGGTGGGTTGGCCTCCATGAAAAGCACAGACGCGGGACATCCGATTCGGCGGCGGCACGCCGGCACGGGAGGTCTCTTTTTCTTCCTTCTTTTTTTCACTTTTTCCCTCCTTTTTGTTTGACCTTTAGTTATCATTGGCTAACAGCATCCAGAACTGTAATATCATTTGTCTCCAGTACGTCTACAGGGTTTGTCGCATCGCTCCCATTGGATCTCGCCTGAATGGAGCCGACTTTACGGGATGCTACGCCGGAGTCCAATGAGGTCTTCTCCTAGCCATGACCCTCGATAAGCATAATGGATGAGCACGCTTCAGCGACGACACTCACGGTACACGCATCCACATGTTATCAAGTACGTACTGAAATGCTATGAGTGGGTCCGCTTGACCTGCATATTTGTTACTGCACGGTCGATCTCCGTCATCGGAAGCTCCCGATCCACCCCCATTAAACACACTTTGGCTTATGACTAAGATAGAAATGTGGATAACGTGATTCCCAAGCGAGCGGGCATCCCAAGCGAGCGGGCACCCCATCAATAATTTCAATTTTTAAACACCATTTAAACAACCATAACAGAATATATTTAACTTAACTATGCTTTAAAGCATTTATTAAAAGAATGCCCTTTCTGATTACATCCAGAACAGGTAATTTGACGACGTACAGGGGGTAAAACAGGCAAGAGGGGCTCCTCTGGGAGTGATGGACCAGGTGGTGCATTAGATATATATATCTGATCACCACTACCACCACTCACTTTAGCGACCGTATCACTTGTCAGGCTACCCTGGTAGGATAGCCGCTTTGTGGATTTGGCCCTTTTTTTCATTTGTTTTGCATTCGCTGCCCGTAATCTCTTGATCTCATCACCCTGTAAAACGACCGTATGCAGCATCTTCACTGTCATTTTGTGATATTGCGCAAGTTCACGTTTTGTAGGGCTAGATAGCTTATTTGACCCCCCACTCAATTGCGAATCAATCCTAGCTTTGCGTTTTGCTAGTTGGTTGGAGTTCTGAGGGATACCAGTTGAGATATTGCTATCTGAGGTTGACCCCTGTGACAATGGACGATCCGGGAGCGTAGGTGATGCAAGCTGAATATTGAGATGAGACAACACCCGATCAGGGTCAAATGGCACAAGACCAGTAGCAGCGAAAGCGCTATGAATAATAGTCTTTTTAAATGCATCGCCACGGGCTTTAGGGAAGATATCAATGAAGTCATCTTTTTCAATAGAATTGATGCCTAATCGGGTATATCCTGCAACCCGACTCCCATAAGATCGCTTCAAAACAGCAAAACAACCAACATCAAGAGGCTGCAAAAGATGGGAAGTATGCGCAGGCATACAGATAGGTACGATGTTGTTTTGAGCGCAAATTTGATCAAATTGAGGTGTGAGATGACTGTTATGCCCATCAAGGACCAAAAGACGATATTTTCCTTTGGTTTGATTTGTTGTATGCGGAATGAAGTGTTTTTGGAGCCAATCAACACCTATTTCATCACTCGTCCATCCGTTTGGACTATGATTGATAGCCCAGTGTTTTGGAAGGTCATCAAACCATCGTAACATGAAGTTTTTTCCCTTGAAGATTATGTATGGTGGAAGCGCGTGTCCAGAGGCGCCAATTGATTCAACCACAGTCACCCATTCACGATTTCCAGGTTGTAAAACACCTCTCCGACCAGTATACACTGACTGAGTAATGATCTTAGTCGTCGCACTGATTCCCATCGCAAACCCTGACTCATCAAAGTTATAGATATCATCTGATAATATTCCATACTTGATGATAGTGTTTTGAAAGAGGTTAAACCACTCCGTGATGACCTTTGGGTCCTCCATCAGAGCACGTTTATAGTCATATTTGCGAGAGAATCGACTAGTAAGCTCGGAGTGCCGATTTAGATAGTTTGTTGGCCAATTTTTGCCCACTCTCTGAACCGGGGTCTCTCCGCGCTCTTTTAGCAATAAATTGGCCATATCTGCTAGCATACTGATCGTAAGAGCAGCACCTCGTTGATCCATGCTTATTAGCCAGCTCTTAATTGATTCTTCTTCAATTTTAGTGAGTTTATAGCCATTAGCCCGTGTATCAGACCGATTGGTTCTCCCATTGATCCGGGCTTGGAGAGTAGAGCGGGGCACCTCAAAAGAGCGTGCTGCTGCAGCAATCGTGGTAATTTGACCATTTTGAATAGATTTTATAGCCAGTAGGATCTTGCCCTCTTGCTCAAGCAATTTTTGAGCTTTTTGAGTTCGTTTTGGGGGCATGATGCGTGATTGAAAACAGTGGGTTGCTCGGGGGATGGAAATTTAAGGTGGGGTGCCCGCTCGCTTGGGATGCCCGCTCGCTTGGGAATCACGTTAATGGTGATCGTTCCCCACACAAGCTCCAAATCCCGCTAAATGAGACAATCCGTGCCAACCCTAGGTCAACATGTGGGTCAACAATTCAACATAGCTACTGGCCGCGTGTTTCCCCATATCTTTCATGGCCACTTCGGAAATGCAAAGGGGAACACACTCGAATGATAATACGCGCCTAAATGAGGCCATCTCCAGGAGTAAATCTAGGTATGTAATTACTTGATTGCGTTCTCTGCTCCCCGTATGAGACGCGGTAGGGCTGGCAGGTCGACACAATGAAAAGATCGACATGGCACGAACTTCATCTCTCTTTGTCCCTACTTCGTCGCGAACATACAATGGATGCCCTCTCCCACCTCATCCCCTGAAAAACGGGGCGTGTCCTGGTTACTAGCTCCAAGTCATTGACCTAAGAGGAAAGGTATGCAAACTAGACGAGCTGGGTCACGCGATATGAAGAGCTAAAGGGGCTTGTCAGCACTGGCCAATGCAAACATATCCGCGCGGGCTGGATCTTTCTCGGAACCCACAGTAAGCGACTCCACCGTATCTGACCAAAGCCGTTCAGATCAAGATCTCCAAAACTGAGCCATACATCCTCAGATGCGGATTCAGCAAAGAACATCTCATTCTCGACATATGGCCGAAAGTATCATGTTCGTCCGCGCTAGCTTGCCATTAGTGACTTGCGACCAATATGCTATGGCCACTCGCCGACGGAGACGCGCAATTGATCATTGCTTTGCTGACTGCCAATCCAAATTCTAGGCGAGCCTGTGGGGAACAATTGCGCGTCGCATGCGTGCACGGCACGCAGCATGAAAGATGGGAGATGGTGGCTCAACGGTGAAATCGATCAAGCACGGGCTTATTCGATATTGAAGATCATTGATCTTTTTTTGGGGGGGGTCTTCAGATTATTGCTCGGAAACTCCGATCATATCCTTATAGCTGTCGATATAAGGGTCCTTGGGTTCCATTCTCCATGTGTACAGCGAACGTACCGAATGCATATTCTGTGTTCTGTATTATTGTCCTGACCCCTGAAAGAAGTGGGGCTTCGGGTATCTCCAGTCTCGAAAAATTATGGGGCTGGGTGTTCCATTCAACCAATAAGGGAAAAGATCAATTATTGTCTTAACCATATCTGGAGAAGACCCAAGCAAAGTGATGTTGACTCAGTGCTTGGTCAGATTCGGCTGTGCGGAGATCATCCAGTGTCACACACACGACGGGTTTAACGGTCATCGCGGAAGTAGAGTTTGGTTCCCCGTTGGCTTAGTATTGGTCCTTTGAGGCCATCGCTTAGCGAGGCGCCGTTCGGTCTCGGTATTGGTTTGAGGATCATTCCAGTGGATCTTGAGTATCCGCTACCAAGAGATTAGATCGTCGCGCTAAGGTGGGATAGGTTCATGGAAGAGACGATCTACATGTATACGCGGAAATTGTACTCAGATACCAGTGTTAGCCAACTATGGGACAGTAACGCTGTAGGTTGTTCGCCTCACTCCGCCGATCCTTCAGTGGCCAATCTGCTGCTCAAGGCAGATGCGCATATGGATCGACTTGGGACATGGTGGGCAAGGTGGACGAAGGGTAGCCCGGAATGGGTGGTGCCGGCATATCTGAAGGGTTGAGGAGATAGCCTGCGTCGTGGTCTTGCCAGTTCTGGGCCACATCAGGGTCAGGCAGGAGAGTGGAAAAGTATGCCTGGTCACTCTCGTTGATCTTGGACGTGATCTGGTTGAACAACGACGAAGCGGAGTTCTGGAGGCCCTTCAAGGCATCCTTGTATTCCCCCCGAGGCACGTGGTCCTGGCTGGTCGCTGATTCCAAGCTATCTTTCAGAGTACGGTTTTCACCCTTCAACTGGCGACACTCCGACGTAAGCTGGCGGACTTTCGCGGACAACTGGGCTTTTTCCGCGACAACTTGCTGATGGCTCTCCTTCAGGCGGACGGCGCGCTGCTGATGGTCATCTTCGGCTGCTTCAAGTAACTTGATGCAATCAACATGATCTTCCGGGTGGGTGGCATGTGCCTTCTTTATATTGAACGGATGAGTGAGTCAACCACCAAATCAGGACGGAGAATTTGACTGGCTTACCAAGGTCTCTCGGAACTGGACCTCCCGTGGAACGGGCTTAGATCGCACAGCGCCAGTCGCCGGCAAGTTTCGCACAGCGCGTTTGGCAGACGTTTCGGCCTGTGGCTTTCGAACCCTGGTGGGAGCTTGCGCGGCAGGATTGCGCGAGGCTGTTGGCATTTTGGGCATAGTGAGCGATGACTTGACGAACGTCGCAAAAGAAGTGAAAGACCCGCACCACACAAAAGAGAAAGAAAAAAAGTTGGGGCCACATCAGTCGAGGCGGGTAATAGAAGACTTAAATCCAGTGGCAGTGTGAAAATAACCAAAGTGGTTTACACGAATTACGGTTTCACCCGGTTGTACCACATCCTCAGCACCTCAGTTTCAGTAATGACCGGACAGTGTCAATTCACCAACCCGTGGGAAAACATGGAAACAGTGGAACACAGTCCCAGTTCAGCCGCCCTGTGTAAAACATGGGGGGGGTACCGTCTCCACAATCATGGTTATGATAGAAGAGAATTGAACTTGTCAAGCCGCCGATTCTACGATATACACACTGGCCAGATGCTCAAATATTCACCAATGGTCAATTCAGGATGGGACAAATAGACATTAGTTCCCTGAAGAGTTGGGTATTCCGTGTCGTACACAATGGACGACTTAAGAGACCGTCTTTTTGGCCCAAAGTTACAAGTGAATGAAGTAATTATAGTTCGGATTCCAGCCTCGACACACTGTGAGCCCGCGTGGGCCCGGAGGATCAATAGCATTTCGGTCAATATCCGAGCAATGCGAACTAGCAGATGGACAACAACGGACGATGGATGCTACCATAGCCACTTTCATACGCTATTTCCGTGCTCGTCGCGAGCTAAGGGAACCCAATGCAACGATGGGGCCAGAAACTGGATTCCAGACGGCTTGTTCCGTCCAGCCTACCTCATGTAGTGGATTTGACTGCGATATTGAATTGGGACAGAGTCCGTGGCTTCAGTCTCTGTCACGGGAGCTTCGTCGCTAAGGATGACCAGAAGAGGAAACGCAGGACGATGAAAGGAGAAAACCAGATGTTTAGAGATGTTTAGCCTGGTTTGCCCAAGTTCCGTGGTTTCCACGGTCACAAACGCTCTATGCTCACAGTCTCGCTTTAGCGCTAGCCGCAATCCGATGGAGGTATTCGTGACTAGCCGCCCCTCGTTTCCCATGACTGTCTTCACAGCTCTGGGGTGTTATCGGCCCGATAAAGGACATGAGAGTAAAATACCAGGTGCGAGCAATATCACGAAAACCTCTCCGTCGATCAATGCTGGATCTGCATCACCGGTCCGCAAACGGTTGGAGGTGGGTCTAGATATCGCGCTATTGAATACCTGTGCCACTTGTATGGTAATATCCACGATAGAATTAATTAATCGCCCGTGGTTTTATGTTAATACCAGTCATTGCGCTCTGACGTGAAATCCCCGCGGTCGTACCAAAGCTCCAAATCTCCCGGATGGTCCCAATGACCGTGCTCTGCACGTGCTGACCCCCAACGCCTAACGTTCGCGCTCCTCGCCAGGACATGCTTCTTCTTCATTGTTCATGTACCCCAGTGGACTGAAGTGCAAACGTACCAGCAATGGCCCGTCCAACACCATATTGTCGACCACAGGCTCCCAGCATTGGCTTCAGGAACTCTATGCGCTCCACCCATGTTCAGCCCTCGCGCTTGTCTGCCACAGTCCACCGAAAATCAATGCCTGTAGGTCGTTCCATTATCACTCCCTTTGGTGTGGTCGTGCTGTTCACTTTTCTCGATTATAACTGTTCACAGGCGACGGCCACGGCGCACAGTCTCCCAGAAACGCAAAGCCCAGAATGGACAGAATCTCCGTCCGACCAGTCTACGGCAGCGTCCACTACCCAGCGCCGCCCAGGCCAATGCAAGAAAAACAAGGAAAAGAGGAGAAAGAGACGATGGAAGCAAGCGCAACAGCTTCAGGTAGAGCACGAGCAGCTTGAAATCCAAAACGAGCAGCTTGGAATTCAGAACAAGCAGCTTGTAATTCGAAACGAGCAGCTTGTATGCCAACAAACCCAGGGCCAAATTGAAAATCAGGGCCTACGCGAGCAACTAAGGCAGCAGGAGCAATTTCATCGACGTTATGAGAGGAGCATGCGAAAGTTCTTCCACGACTGTCATGTCGAAGCTTCCTCTATTGTCAAATCAGTCAACATTCTGCTCTCAGATTGCGCAACGCGTCCCAGAGGTGTACCAGAACCCGTGAGGTGGGAGCGTCGATTCGCGCATGACGTATGACCATTGAGAAGTATTCACTTCAAGACACGGAGGCATGTTTCGGGTGATTAGACTGGCAAAGCTGTGCTTAGATTTCGCCACAGGAAGACGACGCGACCCATGGGCACCCACGTGCAGCCAGTGAGCTTATGTAATCTTCCCAATTCGGGGGTTCAACTACTCCAAACTATCCCACCATTTTCCATCTATCACTGTCACCATATTCCAACAACCAGTCATAGAACAGGCGGGAAATTAATGTAAATAACATCCTTGTAATCAAGGTATGTTTCCCGTATCAAAATATCCATAGGAAGGGTGAATAAAGATGTTGTAAGTGAATTAGAGAATACAGTGTGTTGGGACTGAATATATACATGCGCACGACATATAATGTGACTACGAACACCCATTATTTCTTGTCCTGTCCAATGACTATTTTCCCAAAAAGCCAGTTCGATTACCCCGAACTTGAATATACTTTCCATTTCACATATCTGAGACAGGTAGTATTCCATGCTGTACTGTAAACGTAGCCAACAACGTCCTGAAATCAAGAAACCACAAAATTTACCAGCAAGCGACCGACAGCCGCTAACAAATGCCCATACACCCGGTGTAGCAAATACTAGACTAAAAACGAACCACGAACATGGAAGTGGTTGCTGTGGTGGGTTGAGCCCACCGACCTTCCAGTTGAAATACAATTGAAGGTACGCGAGGAGATAAAACAGAGCATGTGTAGACGACCAAAAGCTGAGATTGAGATCACTGATTTTCTTGCGGGCAGGGGTTAAGAAGCTTCACCAAAGTTGCGTGCGTAGATTAGGGATGCACATTTCATGGAAGTCGAACGCACTCATGAACGGATAATCGCAAAATATCTTTGAAGTCTCACTAACAGACTCCTCCCAGCCCCGCATAAGTTATTGTTTAATCCCACGCACCCCCTCTCCCGCCCCTCTCAAAAAAGACTGCGGTAAATTGCTTAATTTCCCATACTTGGGGTCATTCAACTTCGGTGAATTTCGCCCGCAGACAAGAAGCTCACCAAGAGTCCCACGACTGACATGGTGGTGAAAAAGGGGATTCGTGTTTATGAATGTGTCAAGGTTAATTCCTAATCAATAGTCTTACTAACGTCAGTGGGTCATCTTGCCTGAACGGAGTTGGGGAGGCTGGGGAAGTGAAGTTTTATTGGTAGTTCTGTCGAGCGGAGAAAGATAGAACAATCGAATTGCGTAAGTGGCTTTCTTTGAGTGCCGTACAAGAAAATATAAAGCCCAAAGCCTGCCCCGAGTCTTATGAATGGTTCGCTCACCGTGACTTACCGCGACTCGCCGTAACTCACCGTGCAGCAACCAGAGAGCCACAGCTTTATAGCGTTGGGCTTTCCGCTCACCGTGACTTACCGCGACTCGCCGTAGTTCACCGTGCAGCATATTGAGAGCCACAGCTTTACAGCGTTGGGCTTTCCGCTCACCGTGACTTACCGCGACCCGCCGTAATTCGCCGTGCAGCATATCGAGAGCCACAGCTTTACAGCGTTGGGCTTTCCGCTCACCGTGACTTACCGCGACCCGCCGTAATTCACCGTGCAGCATATCGAGAGCCACAGCTTTACAGCGTTGGGCTTTCCGCTCGCCGTGACCTACTGCGACTCGCCGTAGCTCACCGTGCAGCAACCAGAGAGCCACAGCTTTACAGCGTTGGGCTTTCCGCTCACCGTGACTTACCGCGACCCGCCGTAATTCACCGTGCAGCATATCGAGAGCCACAGCTTTACAGCGTTGGGCTTTCCGCTCGCCGTGACCTACCGCGACTCGCCGTAGCTCACCGTGCAGCAACCAGAGAGCCACAGCTTTATAGCGTTGGGCTTTCCGCTCACCGTGACTTACCGCGACTCGCCGTAGCTCACCGTGCAGCATATCGAGAGCCACAGCTTTATAGCGTTGGGCTTTCCGCTCACCGTGACTTACCGCGACTCGCCGTAACTCACCGTGTAGCAACTAGAGAGCCACAGCTTTACAGCGTTGGGCTTTCCGCTCGCCGTGACCTACTGCGACTCGCCGTAGCTCACCGTGCAGCAACCAGAGAGCCACAGCTGTACAGCGTTGGGCTCACTTCATGCTCTAGTTGCCTCCAGCAATCGGACAGACACCTCTTCGTGGTGCTGGAGATCAATAATCAAACGAAACGTTGTTCGATGAAGCTAAGATCTGTCCAAGTTTATGCCTTATAGTTAGATTCGTCTTGCCATAATCTAGTTGTTTAGTGTCTTCGTGCTGGAATATGAACATTGTCTTGCATTTTCTAGAAATCTAAAGTCCGGTGGATGACACCTATTCTCAGATGGTTTTCATATGTACAACTTCCCCTCTGGGCATAGACACTTTTATGTGTACTAGCATCTTCTCATTACTGTTTATCACTTGAACGTCTTCACCCATCGTATTGCGTACTGTCAATCCCGCGCAAGTGTTGGCCTCGAGGAGCGGGTGATGACCATTTATCCACTCCTAAATATTGGCAGTGACTAGGCGAAGTAAATTATACCAACAGCGTGTTGAAATCGCGGTCCGAGGTCAAACAATACTCTTGCTGGCCAGTACTTTATGGCTAGGGAATGGCCAGAGAGTAAATGACGAGATAATGAGAATGAAAAAAACGGGCTTTATGTTTAAGTCTGTAAAACATGCATATCCCATGGTTGTTCCACTAATTTAATCACTGGAATCCGCCTTCGATCTGGATGAACGCCGCGACGGTTGCCTGTGTCCAGTATACACTCGGAACCAAGAGACAAAAGACCGGAATCTAGGTAGACAAATTCTCGCTCGAGGGACCAACCATGGCCCCACAACAAATGGAAGGCCGGAAAAGTCAACCACATCTGCGTTCAAACGAGATTTTTAGGAAGTCGGTTGATTTGGTGCAGTCGGAATGTTCAAAACGTAAACGATCAATGACCTGCCTACCTCACAATAAGAACTTCTAAACTGGAAATGACTCTATGGCCACAGAATAAACAATCTCGAAACGGATAGGTGTTGTTCAAGTCTCCCAGGGGGAGACAACAGCACGGAGATGAACGCTCCTGAGACTAGGTCCATCGTACTTTTCTACCAAATAAACAATATTGGCAGTAGAAGTTCCTTTCACACCCTTCCATGAGCAGCGCCGAGCCGGGATTTCGGATTCCCAACCGAGGAGCATCCGGTTATTCACTCTCCGACACTGATTATCGGGGTTGTAGCTCCAAGGCTACAGTACAATGATGTATCCGCACCCGTTTATTCGGTCAATTCATCAATATTGCCCGTCTGAGCAACATGAGCCTGAACCGCCAGGTCAATCCGGCAAAGTCTACAACTAGGGTATGAAGGGGCTCCGTCCCACTGGCAAGTGATCATTTACAGCTGCGTCTTGTTCCTCATTTATTTTGAATCCGGATGTACAAGGACCTTTCTGCCTTTGTTTTCTCCAAGCAATTTGTGAAGGCAATGATGTCAGACTCCGCGCCAAATGTTGAGCTGCATACTTCCAATGATGTTCTTGAAAATTCTATCGGCCCAGCCTATGCGGTGAGCACTCAAACAATTACTGGTCCTGAACCGAAAGCAAAATCGGTAGGTCTTCCCACTTTTTGTTTCTTGCCTTGGGCGTGCAGCTGATTTTTCCCATTAGAACCAACGGCAACCGAAGTCTACGAAGGAGTGTTTCACGGCAAAGCCGGGAGAGTCCGCAGTAATATCAATCATCAAAAGCCGCCGGGACAAGCGCAAGGAAAAACAAGGCCGCCGAAGGAGGAATCGAGCGCAGCAACGCGAGGATTACATCGAACGGCTCGTTGCACAGCACACACACGACGAGATCAGAATCCTGCACCTCAAGCAGCAAATCAATTCACGCTGGCGCCAGGATGCGGAGTTCTTGGCCCACAAGCTGCATTCGCGCGCACGGAGTGTCTGAGTCACATGGGCAGAGTCACCATTTTGCCGCTTGGATTTGAGAGTTCCGCATGAGAAGACGATACAAGAAATCGAGAGGGATCGCAACAAATCGATAGATTTCATCACTATGTTCAACATCATACATGTCAAAATTTGTCTAGTTTTAATGTAAATTCGTCAATCCTTTCTATTAAATGACCAATCGAGCGAATGGTATTGATTATTGCAGAAGGTGTGCTTCGAGCAGTCATTCTTCCCCGATGGGCTTTTGCCTTAGCCCAACCCTCGTTATCAACGACAGCCTGAGGCGCTGCTTTCCTGAACTTATTATACTCGCACGGTGGATTCGACGGTCAAATAAATTTAAAGAGAAAAAAAAAAGAAAAAAAATCTTAAGTTGCGTGCCATTACGATGACAAATAACTGAATGCCCGGCACTCATAACCATTATATGTAGCGTTCAGACTATTTCCGGTGGAGAATTCCCCCAGTCTCCGATCATACTGATTGACGCTAGGCATTCCAAAGTTTCAATTGCTTACGTTCTTGACAGCTTTGGCGGTCTTGGTTTGACTTGCCATCAGAAAGGGATCAATTCACCAAGTAGTTAAGCCTCCACACAAAAGAGATATGGAACGGGATGGTACCGCAAAAAAGATTTGTAGTGACAAATATATCGGTTATTTTGAGCCAGGATCTTAGCGCCATTTGACCTCAGTTACCGGTGAGTCACTGTGCCCAGCGGAGGGGCTGGATAGGTAAGTAGCTTTTCTTGTCGGATTTGTGAGGGCGGTGAGGTCCCGATTTCCCGGCAGTGACTGAGTGGCTGGGGTACTCGAGTTGCGTACGTGGCCTTCCTTGATCTCCGTACCTGAAACTATAAAAGCCCGACCCAGTTTCAAAAGACGTGCCACCTGCTGCTACCATTGACTCAATGTCTGAGCGCTTTTTTGCTGCTACCACTGACTCAATGTCTGAGCGCTTTTTTTGCTGCTACCATTGACTCAATGTCTGAGCGCTTTTATTGCTGCTACCATTGATTAAGATGCCACCGTTGCCTCCAGCGATAGGACAGACACCTCTTCGTGGTGCTGGAGATCATTACCCAAACGCGCAGTCGTTTGAGGAAGCTAAGATCTGTCCGAGTCTATTCACTTCCATGCTTGCTCTTTTGAAACCCATCTAGTTAGTTAATGTCTTCTTCCTGTGAGATAATCCATTCCCTCCTTTCGGCTAAAAATGTAGAGTCCGGTGGATGACGCCATTTTCCAGATGACTTTTGCATGTTCAATGTCTGCTTTTAAGAATACATAGTGTACATTATGTGTCAGGATTTATGTGTCAGGACAGCTTCTCCTTACTGTATATCATGAATTAAACGACTTCAATCATCATAGATTTGCATGTCGTCAATCCCGCGCAAATGTTGGCCTTCAAGAGCGAGTGACGGCCCATTCATATAGTGTTGAATTGGCAGCGACCAGGCCGATTACATTACACCACACAGAACGTTGAAATTGGTTTATCCGAAATGATAAACAATACTCTTGCTTGCCGTAACTCATGGCTAGGGAATGGCCGGAGAGTAAATGACCAGAAATTAGCGAAGAAAAAAAGCGGGCGTTACGTTTATATCTAACGTATTTTGTCGAACTGAGGGGTGGTATTTTACCACTAAGAACAGGGATATTCATCAAGTACCCATTCTGTCTCTGTCTCTGTATGGTAAACGGGGTACGCTCGGCATACCAGCGTCGTAACACGCTAGGAACGACTCCTGAGATCTGTTAACGCTTCAACAGCAAGATCCAGATAGAACAACATCAATGCATCTCAATGGGACACCTCAATACTAGCACATACCAGTATCTGTCAATCCGACAGTTATGAGCCCGGTTGCCCGTTGCAATATCCATTAAGATATATCAGACCTCTCTGCTCTGTATCTTAGCGACGTGTATAATATTCCGCAGTGCCGGATACCCCTGAATAGCTCGGATACCTCTGAATCGCCCGGTTACCCCTGAACGGCACATGCGAGCGTTGCCAACGACCGATTGCGAACAGGACAATAGAGTACAATAAGGGAAAGCAGTATAAGAATGTCAGAAGGCCTCTACTCAGAAGAACTGAGGGCAGTGCCTCAGGACCAGCGACTACGGTCGGAAAGTCAATGGAGAGTCTGGATCGGCCACATACGCTCAGCAGCTATCTCTGAAGATGTGTGGGACTATCTGAATCCAGATCTTGCAGAAGAGAGCGTACGACAGGTTCCCGAGGCCGCCCGAGAGCCTCAACCTAGCAGTATTCGCGAAGATGTGGAGGATGAGTTTGAACTCACAGAGAAGGAATTTACCCAGTGGACTCGACGCATTCAAGCCTATGATAGGCGTGAGGCTCAACGGGTGCGCCTGCTGAAGGTGATGGCACGCATGAACAGCCTAATCACACGTTCTCTCGCAACCGAGTATCACTATCTCACAGTCGATGAGGTTTCGCCGTATCAGAAGCTTGTCAGGCTAGCTCGTGAATTCAAGCCAAAGCCAGAGACCCGGACCGAAGAGCTTCGAGCTGCGTGGAGGGCCATGATCAAACAACCAACGAATAACGTCAATACAGATCACTGGCTCACTCAGTGGACGAGTCTATATGAGGAAGCAAAGTGTGCAGATGTGCCTGATGTGGTATACAGTGTCAAATACGCTATTCGAGACTTCCTGCGCGCTATTCAGCCTATAGATGACGTATTCTGTACCACGTGGCAGGAGAAAATCCTCATACACGATATATCCTTCCACGACGTTATCTCCGCATACCGAACACGCCGTAAGGCTCTTGGACAGTCAGCGAAGAAGGGATCGTCGAAGGTTGCACTTGCCACGCTAGATGGTCAGCATGAGGCTAAACCTGGTCAAAATAAGTCAAAGCCAGCGGAGAAAACGTACCGTACACGGTGCCCGTGTGGTAATGGTGCCCATACGTATCAGCAGTGCTATTATCTCAACAAATCGCAGAGGCCAGAAGGCTGGAACCCGAACGAAGCTGTAGAGAAGAAGATCCCTGAATTCATCAAGAGGATGAGCCCCCAGGACCAGGAAGCCATCGCAAAGCTTACCAAGGTCGAATCAGCTCAGTTTGCAGCCTCAGAAGATCAGCAGTCGTCCGAACAGATTATCTCTATGTTTTCGCATAATCTTGCGGTACAAGCGGCGCAAGAGGGTGATGAGTTTCCGCTAAAGGATAGCTGGATCGTCGATACTGGCGCGAATACTCACATCAGCAACGATCGTGACAGATTCATCTCATTCACTCCTGCTGACTACACTGTCATCACCGGAGACGCTTCTACAAGAATCCAGGGCTTTGGAACGGTCAGACTGAACCTCACAGACCCCAAGACCGGAAAGATCTCTATCGGAGAGGTCTCGGACGTACGGTATTCGCCAGGATTCCACACGAACCTACTTTCGGCGTCGAGACTGAAGAGCAAGGGATTCATCATGAATATCGAGTTACTGGCACTCGTTCGCCGCGGTCAGCCTATTGCAAAGCTAGAGGAGAAATGTGGGCTATACGTACTCGAATACCGGCCAATTCCGGCTGGATTCGCTACAATCAAGCATTCAGAAAAACCATTAATATCCTCAGCCACCGCCGAGCGTTGGCATCAACGCCTAGGTCATATGTATGATCAACGTATCGAGAAACTTGCAGAACTCGTTGATGGAATCAAGATCATTGGTCAGCATGTCGATGATGCTGCCGGCAATCCTGAGAGATGTGAAGTCTGTCAAATGACTAGCGCAAAGCGCCAAATCTCGAGAAGAGCTCATGGAACCAAGTACGGCAGATATGGTCGAATTCACTTTGACCTTGTGCAGATAGAGACAGCATACAACGATGATAAGTGGATGACACACTTCTACCTCGAAGGGATACGCCTACATGCCGCCTCAACACACCAGAAGAAGAGTGGTTGTCAGGATGCAGTCAAGAATTTTGTCGCGTTTGCAATAACACAATTGAAGTTGCCAATTCGAGCTTTCCGCTATGACAACGAGCGCGCTGCCGGCCGCACGGTAGAAGACTTCCTCCGTGAATGTGGCTTCATCGTGGAACACAGTGTGGTGGGCACACCAGAGATGAACAGCTTCGGTGAACGATCTGGGGGGGTGATAATTGCGAGGGCACGAGCCTTACTGTTGGAAGCAGGCTTGCCGAAGGCTCTCTGGCCAGAAGCTGTTAAAGCAGCTGTATATATCATCAACAGATCGCCCACTAAGCTTCCAAACGGTCAGTGGATTATTCCGTACGCTGAGGCAACAGGAATCGATCACATGCAGCCAAAACAACGCATCAACCTCTCAAATCTGCGGTTATACGGATGCCGCGCTTACGTGCGCCGCCAAGATATTCCAAAGAGCCACAAGATGGAGCCGCGCGCGGATATCGGATATCTAGTAGGCTACACAGCCTCGAACATCTGGCGAGTGTGGTTTCCGCACAGAGGAGCCGTGCGAGAAGTCAGGGACGTAGTATTCGACGAGAATCTACGATATGACCCCAAAGAACTAGTAAAGCCACCCATTAGCGACGTAATCGAAGCTATGCCATGGGAAATCGGTGAAGATGAGCATGAGGACATCGAGCAGCTCACACAGCGTGTCAGCCAGCCAGAAACAAACGAGCCAGCTAGTGAAAGCACTCAGCAGTCACCAGAAGCTATACCGGACGTTCAACGCCAAGAAAATGCCTTTGAACCACCGAAATCACCAGGCCAACCTCAGCAGACGGTCACGCCGTCTCTAACACCCTCGGCAGAGCCACAGCTTCTGCCGGCGCCTCAGGCGCAGCAACCATCTCAAGGAGCATTTCCCGGGGATCGAGGGCCCGCACAACATGCGACAGCACGTCCAAGAGCACCAAGAGATATTGTGGGAGATGTATCGGACCAAAACATCGTCTCTGGAGCACGGAAGAGGAAACCAGTGGACCAGGCATTTACCGCCGCGCTAGAAG